TGAGAGGCTCCTTTCTGTCTTCGGGGAAGGCTCGGAAAACTGCTGAGACGGCCCTGGGACTCCCGAGCCTTCCGAGGAGGCCCGCCCCTCCTCACAACCCCCCAGGGCGTGCCGCCGATCGATCCTCGGTCGCCCACAGGCGTCCCAAAACTTCCCTTTTCCTCGATGGCCCCTCCCCCTCCTCCTCCTCCTCCTCCTCCTCCTCCTCCTCCTCCTCCTCCTCCTCCTCCTCCTCTCATCCCTCTCCTCCTCCTCCTCCTCCTCCTCCTCCTCATCCTGGGCGCGCGGCCTACTACTTTCTCGCAGGGGATGTTGCCAGACGCGCGCAAGGCACCAGTATAGGTTTTGTGTTGACGTTGACCACCTTATGCGGATGTCCTGTCGTGTTCCTCACTCCTCCCCTCCTCCTCTCCTCTCCTCCTCTCCTCCTCCTCCCCTCCTCCTCCTTCCTCCTCGCTCCCTCCTCCTCCTCGGGCCGACCGTACTCTCCGTCACCCCCCCCATTCTCCCTCCTCCTCCTCCTCCTTGTGCTGCTGCCCGTCCCTTATCCCTCCACCCCACCGCCTCCTCCGTCCTGTCAGCGCTCGGGAGTCCATTCCCTGTGCCTTTCTCGGCTTCGTGCGTGTATTTTGCCGCGAAATGTTCCGCGATGCTCCTCGATGGTCCCCGCCGGGACAAAATGCACACGTCAGAGCGATGCCAAGCCCTCCGCCTTCTCCTGCCTCCTTCTCTCTGCAGCCCCTTCGCCTCCCGCGACCCCAACACCGACCACGACTCCGACTCCCACCACGACGACGACGACGACGACGACGACGACGACGACGACGACGACGACGACGACGACGACGACGACGACGACGGCGACCACCAACCCGCGCGCGCCTGGCGAGGGCGCGTTGCCGCAGCCGCCCCGCGCGCAGAACGCCCGGAGCTCGAAGAGCCGCTGATGGGGCGGGCGCTGAGAGAGGAATGGAGGGTGGAGTGCAGGGGGGCAGGAAGAAGACAATGACGACGACGACGACGACGACGACGAGGCCTCACGACGACCACGACGACGACGACGAGGACGACGACGACGACGACCGACGACGACGACCGACGACGACGACGACGACGACGTCGACGACGACGATGGCGACGGCGACGATGGCGACGGCGACTGCGGGCCCCGCGCGCGGCGGCAGCGAGCACGACGGCGACGCCAGCGACAACATTTTCGCACACGTTTCTCAGGAGCTTCTGGGCCTTCCTGGGGGTCTCTCTCTCTCTCTCTTGCTCTCTCTCTCTCTCTCTCTCTCCCTCTCTCTCTCTCTCTCTTTCTCTCTCTCCCCTCTCTCTCTCTCTCTCTCTCTCTCTCTCTCTCTCTCTCTCTATATATATATATATATATTGTACACACGCGCGGGGGCGGGGCCCTTGGCCAGGGCCCCCCCCGGTACACGGGCGCCGCGGGCGCCCCCGTTGGGCCGCCTGCGGCAGCTCCTGGGCGCCCTCCGGGGGGGGCCCCCTCTGGAGGTTTTTCTCGTAACCTCTCGGCCGGACACGCCTCGGGAAACTGGCCGGGAGGGAAGAGAACCGGGCGCCGACCCCGAGCGAGCTGGTGCGGAAGACGACGACGACGAGGACGTCCTCCGAACGACTCCGACGGCCCCCGAAGGCCTCCGAAGGCCTCCGATGGGCCGCCGACGACGGCCGAAGGCCTCCGACGGTCCCCGAGGGCCGCCGACGATCGCCGAGGGCCTCCCCAACGGCCTCTGACGGCCTCCACAAGCCGACACGAAAGAAGAGGAGCAGGAGGAGGAGGAGGAGACCAGCGTAGGAGGGAGGAGGAGGGGGAGGAGGAGGAGGAGGAGGAGGAGGAGGAGGGGGAGGAGGAGGAGGAGGAGACCAGCGTAGGAGGGAGGAGGGAGGAGGAGGAGGAGGAGACCAGCGTAGGAGTAATAATAATAAGCGGCGTGGAGGCGCGCAGAGTTCTCGTCTTCAGCTGTCTTCTCGCGGGGGCGGCGGCACAGCAGCCCAACATGGAATATGGAAGGAAACTGCTAAACAGTTTCACGATACGGAAAACGAGACAAAGCTGAATCACTACACGAATTTAAAACTCGGCGGCCAGCCGAAGCTGGGAAAGTCCACGAAGGCACTGGGAGGGGCCAAGGTAGGCCCCACCTGGCCGAAAACAGGCCCTGGGGACAACCGCGCTGACTAGTCGAGCGCCCAACCTGGAAAACAAACGCACTCTAAGTTCGACTGCAAGGAGGAGCGGGGGAGGAGGCGAGGGAGGCGCCACCATCAGGCGCGGCAGGCGGCCACAGGCCTGGATGACCCAGGCGCTCACGAGGACGATCCACCGCACGCCGACGAGGCACGACGGTAGCCGGGTGAGTGGTTGGAGTAAGTGGAGCTATACGCAGAGCGCATGTCCCCACCGCCTTCACAGAAGCCGAGGCCGAAGCCTTCTAGGCAGCTGGAGATATTCGTCACAACCACCAGTCGTGAAGTGAACCAGTAGATACTCCATCCCAAGCAATGCGATGATGAATGCCGAAGCTAATCAAACCAAAGTATATCGCACGAAGTACCCACAGTCACGATGGCGTCGCGGAGCACGACGGTAGCTGGGTGAGCGGTTGGAGTAAGTGGAGCTACGCGCGGGGCGCATGTCCCCACCGCCTTCACAGAAGCCGAGGCCGAAGCCTTCTAGGCAACTGGAGATACTCTTCACAGCGACCAGCCGTAAACTGAAACCAATAGATACTCCATCCAATCAATGCGATGATGAATGTCAAGATCAGTCAAACCAAAGTATGCAGCACGAAATATCCGCTGTCACGATGGCGTCATCACTCATCTCCGAGATCACTCATCTCCGAGAGCATTCTGAAACATCTCCTCCTTGGCCCCAGGGGGGGGGGCAGCTCCGATAGCTCGCTCGGCTCCTATTTGGACGAGGGCGAGGCCCATCAGGCGGCGCAAACGCGCGCCCGAAGGCAGAGAAGGCGCGCCAGGGCCGCCTTGTTGCATCATCGTGCTCAGGTCCACGTTGGCGATCGCAATGTGCAACTTCTTCTTGTTCTGGTCGCAGCACTTGGTGAGGCGGAAGAGGCGAACCTGAGTCCACAGGTCCCCCAGCCCCGCTTTGGCTAGAAACTCCTCGTACCACTTCTTGAGTTCCTCGAAGGTGAGTTGCCCCAGCGCGCCCCCACGCTTCAATATTGCGTTCACGAACCCATTGAAGATATGCAGGTGAGGAGGGCCCTGCTGGTGGCCGCGACCCTGCTCCTTGACTGCGGCTGAGCACTGGCGGCCTGACTCGAGCGCCTCCTCGACCTCGGGAGACTTGGCCTCCACGAAGAACGCGTCTACCCCGACCGCCCACAGATCCCTGACGGCTTGGCTGCACACCAGAGCTTGTTTGATCAAGACGGACAGGGTGGCTTCTTGCTTGCGATTGAATCCTGCTTCTCGGAGGCTGCCGAGGTGTTTGTTGCGATCCTTGCGGTCTCGACGGAGCTTGGCTCCTTTTCCTCCGTTGCCCTTCTCCTTGTCTTCCTTCGTTAGCTTGCGATTCGGCAGGGGGACCTTCGGCTGAACGCTTGAGTGCCCAGGAGGGGGCGGCACTCGACATCGCGGCCAGTGGGACACGGCGGCAAGTGTTCGTCTCGGATGTGCTTCTGAAGCTGGTCGAGATTGGGCCACCGAGAACTGCTACAGATAGGGCAGATAAGCGGCACAGCGACGATGGGATGCACAGCATGGGCAGAGCTAGCATTGCAGGTACCAGCACGATAAGCGGCACGAATGCGTGATTTAGCAGACCGACGGAAGGCAAACGTTTGCATGCAGCACGGGCACTGATCGGTCACGACGCACTTGAGTAAGTTAGACGTCTTACCATGGGTACCACCTTTGGTAAAAGTGTTATGCATTGTCAATGCTTTGCGCGACGTAAAAGAGGCCCCGCAAACACAGCCATCGTCAGTCAACTGCGCGCACCGAAATCGTAGCGCAGCATCGCCCCACCCCTCCACCTCCTCATAGCACGGAGTAGGTCCCAGATCGATAGGGGCCCCCGCCCTCCCAAGCTTCCAAAGTTCCCGAATTACCGAGACATCTGTATTCAGGAACCGGTGTCGAACATCGTCGTCTCCGAACAGTTTAAGTATAGAACGCTCCCAATGCTCGTTCCAGTCGTCCACGTCAGTAAAGGCAGCAAGGCAAGACACGTCGGCAACAAACCGTCTAGCAAAAGGGTTAGCAGTAGGCGTCACCCGACCGTCGACGAGGGGGCGGTCGGATTCAAACTCATACTTACCGAACAGGGTCGCGAGTACTAAAACGTGATCTTCAGCAAACCGAACCATGTTTTGATACCAGCGCAGCCTCTGGACCAGGAGTTCATATCGGACAGGTACCAAATCAAGCCAGGAGTAGGTGCGTCGGCTGGACCAGGACCGAGGGCGCGGGCCAGACCAATCACAGGCATCACCTTGGGCAATGGATCGGATTTTGCGAAGTAGCGCCGAATCAAGCTCATTCTCTTGGGCGGGTGACAAGATGAATGACGTGAGCCCCGACAATAGCGCACCCTGAACAACCGACACAAAGATGTTTTTTAATACTTTCCACGGCGCGCGACTGCTCCATAGGTGCTGAAACGCTGCCCACCCACGCGCAGCAGCATTCTTCGCAACAACCACAATCTGCGGAGACAAAGCACCAGTAGGCATGCAGAGAGGTCCCAGGTAACGTGCATATGGTAGTACTTGAGCACCTCCCACTTGTGCGTTGTAGAAGAGTCGATTGTCATGATATCCATTGAGCCAGGGGACAAGGACCTGCTTCTTGAGATTCTGCTTGTATCCGTACTTGTCCAAGACCTCCATGGCAGCGGCTTGTTCAAAGGTAACCTGTTGAACGGCTTCTGCGAGCTTACCAGAATGCAGTAGAATAAAATAAAACAGATCGTCCACATACTTGACCAGAGAAGTGCCCACACGTTCGTTAAATAAAAAGCATTATGCTTGAAGTTCGGGCTGCGGGGAACGATAGCGCCACGCGTTGACAGGCTCGGCAAGGTCCATGCGAAACTCATCGGGGGCAGAAGTCTCTCCCATAAGGGCTCCAGTAGTAAGCTTGAGATGTAGTGGGCCATCTGCAGCATCCAAGTGAAGTACGTGAGTCGAGCGACGATCTGCAAGAAGAGTGGCGTCTGCACCAGGATGGTATTCATGTAGCACTTCATTGAGTCGGGAATGGTCAAAACATCCGCATGCATTGGTCATGTCGTCAAACACCGCAACATGTCATACTTTAGCGGAGCGGAGTCTCCACTCAGTCGCATGCACTGCCAAGGTCGCATTTTCACGACGACGATGAGGTACGCAGCCTTGATCAGCGTGGCGGGGAGGTCCGAACGGCACACTTTGCATAATCCACGGCACACAGCACGGAAGAAAGGGCACAGTTCATGTAAATATCTAGTGGCACCGTCAGGCTTGGGCGTTTGCCACACGTTACTGCATCCAGCACAAGCAGGGAACCTTCCACTCATTCGCCAGCAGGTAGCGAGCGCCTGCATTGTAGTGGCAACCGCATCATTGGCAGGAGGTTCGATTGTGCAGCCCACGCCAGCCATAGACTTCTTTTTCTGAGAATAGTACGACGGCCGCAACATCATCAATCAAACTTCACCAGACATACTCCAATCAGGGACAGCGCGACGTCGAGCACCTTTTTAAAAGAAAGGAACGGCCCTCGCCAAATCCGTTTCACTAAGCGCCTCGGCGGTGTCGTGATTACTGCACCCAGCAGGCGGGAGTGCAGCGCGTTGAGCTTCATAGTCAGCAACAACAACAGGTTGCGCACCCAGCCCGCCTTGAGCACCAGACTTCTGCAATATGTGCACCAGTTCCGCAGTCGAGGGCGCATGCTTACGTATCAAGTTGCATCGCCTGCGCTTGGGTCCTACTCCAGTCCCAGCAAGCTTGCGAGAGAAAGTCTGCACATCAGCAAGTCGGCGGTGCCGCCAAGCATCATGTAGTTGTTGAGCCCAGTTAGTGTAGAGTGCCCGTCGCCACCTGCGTACTTTACCTTTGAGAATGGCACTGAGCGTACAAATATGCGTGTCATGATGCGCATGAGGAGCAGCCACAGCACGAAGCTTACCACGAAGGTCGACTAGTTGACGTACTTCACGCCGAAGGGCACGTGCATCTTCATCCATGCAACTATTACGTGAGAAATACTTCGCAGCAACAGGTAATACGATTTCCCGAAAGGCGGCATATCGCTGCTCGATCTGAGGGGCTTCAAAAAAAAGGAAGAAGAGAAAACTTAGTACGCGCCAGTGCAGCTTCGAGCTCAGCCAGAAAAGGTTCACGAAGTCCAGGAGTTTGAAGTGCCAGCGCAACACGATCACGATCCCAGGCTATCTTCTTGGCGGAGCACACATGAGGTAGAGACATTACTATTTCCAACTTGACAGGCGCATGATCAAGTAGGGCTCCAGCACCAGGCGCCAACTGCAATTTCTTTGCAAGTCTAGTCATAGTGAGGCATTTAGTAACATGCTTGCGAAGGCCGAGGGGTACCACTAGGTAGTCGATGAACGAAGTGCGATTCTTCTGGCCGTAGAACGCGGGGTAGACTTTCTGGAAGGTACTGGGAACACACAGGTGGTGTCGGTGAAGCAATTCACGAAAAGCTTTCGCAGCGTACCTCATTCGAGTCGTCGTAAATGGTCCAATACATTGATACTGATCGGCTTGGTCCGCAGAAAAGGAATCATTCAGGTCAGTGTAGAACACAAGGGTGCAGCGGCACGGCAGTGATCCCAAAGTGTCAGACAGCCACTGAAGTAGGCAGTCCACCGTGTTATGCCATGCCCCCGTCGCGCGTCCGACAGCCGTGGGTGGAAAGTAAATTGCGAATGCGGCGATACCGAAGTCCTTTCCAATCAATTTGATCATGCCACAACGGCCTTGCGCAGCAGCAGGAGGAGACGACACAATGTGTACCTTGCCACGCTGGAAAGCCTTCACGTTGTAACCGATCGAGACTCCACGCGAATTGTTAGTAAACGGACCACGAGCATATCCAAAGTGAACAAATTGATGCGCCTCCTCAGACTGCGACCATGTCGTAGTGTGTGGGAGTACACGAAGTCGAGTGCCCACGAGCATGACAAGAGCAGTGGAGCGCAGCAGGGTGCTGATCTCATAGAGTCTGCGGGTCTGCATAAGGGAGCACGGGTTGCACCCAACGAAGGAGAGGTGCTTCATGAACTCAACCTGAAGAAACCAGCCAGGCGGTTCGGCCCGTCAGCGCCACGCCCCTCCCAGGCCCATCAGGAGCGATGTGATGTAGGAACGTGCGTGGTGCAGAACAGGGCCCCAGACACCCCTCGATCTCTTGAAATGGGCTACCAGCGTAGGAGGAGGAGGAGGAGGAGGAGGAGGAGGAGGAAGAAGAGGAGACCAGCGTAGGAGGGAGGAGGAGGAGGAGGAGGAAGAGGAGGAAGAGGAGACCAGCGCAGGGGGGGGGAAGGAGGAGGAGGAGGAGGAGGAGGAGGAGGAGGAGGAGGAGGAGGAGGACCGAGGCTTCTGAGGGTGCCTTTGGGCAAGTGGGGAACTCCTGAGGCCCCCCAAATGCGTCCAGCGATCTGCCGAAGTATCTGGAGACCTCCCGGCGCCGACGACGCTGACGTCGACGAGGACGAGGTGGATCGGACTTGATGTACCATGTGGGGCTTGCCCTACACGAAGAATACACCGTGGACGGATCTACCTGCTTTCCGACCTTGTACTGCTCCGAACGCAACGGCCGCGTTGTCTAAGAACGCAACCACCCCGAACGTGTCTAGCTTGAAAGCGAGAACGGTAGTTTGCATAAGCCGCCAAATGTTGGCCCTCCAAGATCAAGCGTCGTGCTTTATCTCAATGCTCGTGCACATAGACAGGTCCCTCAGGTAGTCCCAGCAGGCCTCAACAGGCCCCCCGAGCAGTCCCAGCTGGCCTCAACAAGCCCGCCGAGTAGCCCAGGGCGGCCTCAATGTGCCCGCCGAGCAGTCCTGCAAAGACTCGACTGCTGAAGCAAGCTGTGCTGCCTGAGCCGAGAACTTGGTCACTGATTCCAGCGACTGTTGCGTCTGGGCGATTGCCGTGCTCATGTTGGAGACCTCGGCGGTCAACTCAGAGATCGCATCGGACTGGGGAGCCATCGCGCGGTCGATGCAAGAATGAGCAAGTGATCCGAGCAGAGAGGAGGAAGCAAGCAAAGCAAGGGCCTCTGTGCCCTGGGATTGAGCTATCCCCTCAGCTGCGACCAAGGTCGAAGCACCAGAAGATCGTGTTTCGACCTTGAGCCAAAATGGCTAGGGATGATGACGGTGCTGCTCGCGACGATGCTGCTGATGATCATCATCATCATCACCACCACCACCATCATGATGATGATGATCATCATCATCAGCAGCATCATCATCTTCACCATCGGTGTCGTCGCCATTCAACGTCGTCATCATCATCAGTAGCAGCATCAAACCTATCATTACAGCAACGTCAACGTCATAACCAACATCA